CCCCCCCCCCCCCCCCCCCCCTCTTAAATAAGGTTTTTTTAGTTGCGAGATGGTTCTTGGCTCTTGTTGTCACTCCAGGAAGTGACTCGGCTAAGAAATTCTAAACTTTGGTATTTGTACAAATTAAACAAATAAGACATGTTAATTAGTGAGCTTTTGAGCTGCTGGTTGGCAAATACACTATTACCTTTGGACATTGCCAGGCTAGCTGTTCCCCCTAATTTCTGGCTTTATGCAAAAAACAGGCTGTTGGCTTTAGCAAATATAAGAGTGGTAGCAATCTTTTCATCTATTTCTCATACAATTAACACATATCAAGAAAAGAATAATACAGGCATGACTGCATTAAAGTATACAAAGTTGATTACATCGTAATGAGTGTGCAAAATAAGTGCCAAAGATAAATTAACATATCTGGATTTGATACATTTTTCAAAAGACCATACAAAACATGAGAAAAAATATGGAATTATGGGTTACACCAATACCTTGACTGCTTGTGTTTATGATGTGCACACGTGTCATTTTCACACTGGCAGGTCTAAAAAGGACCACACTGGTGGAAGGTATGATTATTATGTTTCAAAATGTACTGTTTGTGTGTGTCTCACAGCCGCGGCTATGTGGATAAAATGGAAGAGGCCAGGCTTGCGCGGGAGGAGAGGTGAGTGTGTGCACTAAATCGAAATCACACACACTCACAGAACAGCTGAACCCACGGGGAATATGTTTCAGCCGGTGGTTTGGGAAGCTTGGTAACAGTGTAATTGTTTTCAGGTTATAAAGATTGAGGGTGTACTGAAGCGATTTCCTTTGCTCCGTCTGCCTGTTTTCTGTTTTTAAGGAGCTGTATTTTAACTGCCGCGCTCTGCCAAGGGCCTGATTGTTTTGGCTGCACGCTGTGAGAAAATCGTATTCCAGGATTCGTCGAGCTTTCGCACCGAATGTACGTGCACGTACACAGACACGGGTTTTACTTAAGCGCATGAATGTTTAAAGACACACAAATATTTTTCACGAGGCTAATAAATATATCTTTGTGTGCAAATGGAAATCACAGGAAACAAGGGATTTACTCAGGAGGGGGAGGTCACGATCAGATTCGGGACTGAACGTACTCAATTCAGCCAAAGTGTTATCTCCCCAACCTCTTTAACCTGAAAACAATTACACCATATTATGTGCTGCTGCTTTTCCTGTATAGGCTCAAACCTCTTTCAACCTCAAATTAAAGCACCATTGATATAATAACACACATTGTGAGAGTGGAAAGAAGCAAAGGGTGGCGGTGTAAAAGAGCAGTTTGATTCAACAACAGACAGAGGAAACAAGCACAAGACAGAGGTGGACAGAAAGCCAGAGAGGGAGATGAGCTGCTGAGTGAGCACGTGGGAGATGTATCCCCCGGAGAGGTTGATGTATTATGGTGTTATCTAGTTTTTTCCCCCCGGCTCACTTCGCTGAGGGACTAATCGGTCTGACAAGATACAGCTCTGTAACACCTGGACAAAAAGGACTATGGAATACTATATGGCCTTCATGACAGACAACTCAGTCCAAACATGATTGTCAATGGCGTGCATACTAGAGTTGGACTGAAACTGGATTCCTGAAGCATGTCGCAAATATTGCCACTGAACACAAGTTGCATTTCTCCCTGGAACTTTGGTTCATGATCAAATAAAATAAACATAATTCAGGACAGTCATGTTATAGCATCGTCATTCACGGTATCACTCATGACTGGGTGTCACCAGGTTTTTAGGTCAATATTTGACAATACAGAGACATATTGGTTGTGCACAGCTCAGCAGACACATACAAACAGCTTATTAAAGAGTCATTTATGGACATACATTCTTGAAGTGATCTGTTGTATTAGAGTGCTTCGCAAACTCTTTTATTTTTAAGTATGTAAAGACATATTAGTATATTGATGGTTTTTGGTCCAAGCTCACAACACAATCACTCGCTCTACTTAACTCTTAATCACATACACACAAACACACACACACACACACACACACACATTGGTATCCAGTTTCCTCAGACCTCTGAAGTGGCCTGATGCTAATGAACTCTGAACAGAAGCTCTACACATTCATGGTATGGTGGGAAAGAGGAGGGGTTAGAGAAAGAGAGAGAGAGAGAGAGAGAAAGGGTCGACTCAGTGCCCTAAATCTTTGTTCTGGCTGGCAGGTTGAGTGGTAAAGTTTGGTAGGGGGAGGAAAGAGAGAGGAAAGGACGGGAGAGGAAAAAGACAAGGGAGGAGAGCTGATCGAGGCACATCTTGAACAGGTTTACGCTGATTCACTTCTGATGTTTGGCCTTTCAGCAGCCAACATTAACTTCTCCCCATCTCTCCCATTCTTCTCTCCTGTCGTTCTCCTTTCCGTTGCACAGTTGGACTGCTGGTGATAGCCAAGCGTTTAGCTAGATAGGGGAGGAGAGGAGAGCAGGATGGTGAAACTCTTGACTGCAGAAAATAAGTGATTGAATGCTTTGTTGGCGATATGGGGCGAGGTGGAGGACTGAGGTGGGCTTATAGAGTTGTTGTTAAGGCAACCATAGAAGCTAGACGTTTGTCATGAATTCAAGGAAACAGGCTGAGTGGTTACTAGTTCAGTGTATGGCAATATATATGGCAAAGACCCACACAGTGCAGCACTGCTGAGAAAGGCAAGACAGAAGGTGAGTTGTCTTGAACTCTAGTTTTGCCTCTGCCTCTGATCCTCCCTCTCGCTCCTTCGCGCTCAGGTATAAGAACGTAGAGCGTCTGGCGTCGGAGGAGTACGAGAGGGAGCACGTACGGGTATCGAGGACTCGCCCTGACCTCAACCTCACCTTTGAACCGGCGGAGGCCTGGCCCTCGTCATCGCGCAGCAGCACCCCGTCCTCCTTCGCCTCCCAGGAGGACGCAGAGGCTGACCTCGAAGCCGAGACCCCCGCCACCCCCTACACGCCCTCTGAGACTGGTAGGACATCTGAGAATACCGTTTGATGGAGTAGCTGTCATATGTCAACGCACCGTAATGGCTAAGAACATGGTGTCTCTGTGGGGATACGAGTTATTAACAAGTCAAAAATGCTGAGATGGTAAGACTGACATGCAGTCAACTAAATAGTTTAACATCTCTCCTGTTTGTTTAGAGGACTTAATTACAATTCTGTAGCCAAATGCTACCTCTTAAGTTTTGTGTTACAATATACGATAGCATTCAATATAATACAGCTCCTAGGATTGTGATTGTTTCTCCTGCTGGTACTGTTACAATAATTGCAGCCGCAAACTAATATACACTTCGAACAGTTAGTAGTAGTTTTATGAAACAGCAGCAGCCAACAGCAGGGCACTGTAAAGAGAGTTGGTTACCTTGCTGAAGAGTTGTAGTTTAAAGAAATGCATAAAATTTTTGTGAAATACTTGGATGAGCGATTTCTGTCAGCGCTAATAACAATGAGATAAAACTGCTGTAACGATGGATTACATACACGCATCGCTTCTTGCGTGAAGGCAGGCAATCTGAATCCAGCGTGAGAATGATGGATTCCACCGCTAACGATGACTATGTAAATAGGTTTTTCATGAAATGTAAATACGTTGAATGGCTATTGCTGAAAAATGACATGACAAAAATAAGCAGGTTTGACTTTAAGTTTGTGTGTGTTGAAGACGTAAGAGCATTTATATGACTTTTAATCTGCTGGTTAATACTTATAATTAAAACCAGAAGGTTGGCACTTGAAGTCCCAAAAGTGTGCCCCAAAGCAATCATTCTTAACCTTAAATTGTTTCAGTTTGCAGCCTGCAATTTAAATTAGCATGCAGGCGTGAGCAAAAGAAGGGGCGAGACAGATTGTGGAAAATACTGAGGGAGAGGAGGGGACGCCATCAGGAGGGGGGGTTATTATAACACACAGAGAGAGGATACGGGTGAAAGGGTCAAATGGGTTTTTGAAAGACCTTTTTGAAATTGTAATTCCAAAACATCTTGTGTAAGAAAAAAAGCCTTGTTTTGGAGCTGAGCGCATGCACGGCCATGAGCTGAGGTACTGTAGCTCACTTAGGTGAGTGTATGAGGCCTCACAGCGTCGTGTTATTCTAACCCTGCGTGCATCACTGCATGGACTGTACTGTGGAGTTACGTGTTTGTGTGTGTTTTGACACAAACAGGAACTTAATTCTTCATTTCCTGTCCATATCCTGGTCCTACAACAACCTGGCTTTCTGTGCCTGCCATATTGTTTACATTAGTATGGCTGTGTGTTTTTGTTTTTCTTATTAGTGTGTGTGTGGATGTGTGTTGGTACAGAGGTGTCCCATGTGCAGAAATCAAAGACGGCCATGTCACATGCTTCAGACTGTATTTCACTGCACATAGTAAATGGGCATTTCAAAAAATAAAGAAAGACTGTTTTTAATTTTGCCAGCAGAGGCTGATGACTCCAGTGCCAGTGTAGAACCAGAGGAAAAAGAAGCCACTGCTGAAGAGGAGGACGAACGGAAAGAGGAGGAAGTACAGGAGGAAGCAGCAACAGAAAAGGAGGAGGAAGGCGAAGAGTTTGAGCAGGAACCGGAGAAGGAGAAGGAGAAAGAGGAGGCGGTGGAGGAGGCGGAGGAGGAGGAGGATAGCGGCATCCTAAGCGACAAAGAACGCCAGAATGAGGAAGTGAATGAGAAGGACAACTGCTCGGCCTCCAGCATCTCATCGGCCAGCAGCACTTTGGAGAGAGAGGAGAGGGGGGGCAATGACAATGGTGGGTAGTTAATGCCATCTTCTTTTAAATTTAACACTTTCAGTTTGTGTTGCAGGCTTGAGTTAAAAAAATGTAGGTCTCAAGCCCAAACCAGATTTCCCTGATGACATGGTCAAAGTAATTACATTTTTTCTATTGTTGACTATTTAAGTGTGCACTCTTTCTTATATCTCTCTCCTCTTAACCCCATCAACCTCCTTCTCAGGCTTTAAGGAGCCAGAGGTGAACGAGCAGTGCAGCAAACTCCTCAACAGCAAGCTCTTCATGCTGAACATGCTGTACTCCCAGAACAAGAAGCCTAGTGATGAGGAGGAGGAAGAAGAGGATGTGGAGAAGGAGAAAGAGAAGGAGAAAGGAGAGGGGGAGGAGGACAAAGAAACTCAGGAGGAGGCCGATGTGCAACAGGGCGACGACCAGGAGAGCGACCACAAGGCTGACATATCAGACCTCCACAGGACCATCCGACCGTTCGCCGAGCGGTTTGGAGAGTTGATCAAGGACCTCGGTTCGACTCCCCCTCACCTGGATGTCCCGGCCACTGAGCCCCCTCCTCCCCCTCCTCCCCCACCCAAAAAGGAATCGGACACGATCTGGGACCAGCTGCTGGCCAGCCCTCGAGAGCTGCGCATCGGGGACATCAACTTCACCGACCTGACGGAGGAAGATGACAAAGACATTCTGGACGCTGTTTTGATGGGAGGATGCAGTGACCACCCGCCCCCGCCGCCCCCTCCTCCCTGCCTCCCCTGCCTCCCCCGCTTCCCTCCACCCCCACCCATGCTAGGCAGCTGCCCCCCACCCCCTCCCTTGATTGGGATGATGCCGCCTCCTCAGCCCCCTTCCTTTAGCGCCCTAATTCCAGTGCCTCCTCCCCCGGAGCCGCCACTCTTCAATAAGAAGAAGAAGACGATCAGGCTCTTCTGGAGCGAGGTGAGTTAAGATACGATTACCACTTCCATCAGTCAGGTACAAGTATCACTCTTTTTACTTCGTGGTACACATGATTCATCAAGAAGATGATAACTGGAGGCAGAGTGTCACACAACTCCTTTAAAGACTCGATTTACCATTAAACATTTTCTTAATTACAGTAACTGAGAGTCTCTCATTCACCTCATTTTTACAGGGAATGCGAGTCTAATGCACGCCTCTACCTAATTCAGTGAATTTTTGCTTTGTTTGTGATCAGGTGCGTCCGACAGATTCTCAGTACCAGGACTACAAGCGGAGGGGAGACACATTCTGGTCCAAACTAGAACCAGTGAAAATTGACACGGCCAAACTGGAACACCTGTTTGAGTCTAAATCAAAGGAAATACCAGTTACAAAGGTAAACAACCAGAGATTTATAATCTCACTGTGTGATACTGAATGTATGACTCGACTAACTTCCTCCTAACTATTAATCACAGAAGTATCTCAGCGAAGTGCTGTTAGCTTTGTATGTTCATCTTACATCACACATGATGGACTGATCAGTAATTGCGGTTTTGCAAAAAGTTAGAGGATGCATCTTACAACTGTGGTGCAGCATTTTCAAAATGAAACTTCATGGCACTTAGATTGTACACTTTTTTATTTCCTCTGTGAGTCACTGGTGCCCAAAGGTGTTTGCTACGGTCCCACACCAGATTAAATATCGGATATTTTGTGACTGATTAGGGGAAAGGCTTTTTTTTTACAAACACCTTTCCTCTGCCAGCTACAAAGCTCATGGGTTTGGTGTCCATTATTTCCAGCATATGAAAGTTGTTGGAAGTTTTGAGGGTTAATCATGGTCCCGTGTGTTCTGATCCTGATCAAACATGGGAGTTTTGAATCCTTTGTAATTCTCACAAAGCCTCTAAATAAGAAAAGTATGGTCTGCTAAAATAGGGGGCTGAAACCAGGCATCACTTTGAACTCCTGATCCACTGATTCAAAACCACAACTCTTGTTAGAGCCGAACCGGTTAGTAACTCACTTCGGCTCGACATCTGGTCCACACATAATGTGACAACGCGATGGTGGTCTGCAGCGATAGTATCGAAACAGCTCAAGCAAAGCTGTCAGTTAATGAGAGAATCCAGGATTTAGAGGACCACCAGAATATTAAAGCCATCAAAGGTCAGAGCAAACTTAACTGATATTGTTTTAGCAGATTCTCTACTTCAGGGTATGTGGTTTTCATACATTATCCATCAGAATGTTAAGTATGTGTTTTAGATTTTAAATATTAGAGATTGCAAGGTTCAAATCAATTTCACGTAGGTTTTCACCTAAGTGGTTGCTATAATTATATATTTTTGCTAGTTTTTAATTAATCAGATTCCTAACAACAGAAATATTATTCCACACAATGGTTAAAATTCAATTTTGACACAGTACCTCCCATCATCAACAACTATGTTAATGTATTTCTATAAGGTACTCAAATGTAAATATTAAATTTAACAGTTAGACATAAATATGTTGATCCCTAAAAGGTGTTCTTTAAAATTGAAGTCAGTCATTTACATATCATAACATTATACAGTGTAAGTTGCTACAACTCAATAGTGCTAGAGTTGTACTATAGTATAAAACTTCCTAGCGGCAGTAACCAGCTCTTAGCACCTACTCTATTACACTTTTATGTGCTGACATATATTATGACTTCCTTCCATTTATAGCCTTTAATGACCTCAAGTGCTGGTGAGGTCATTCCTGTTCCTAATCACCATATAATTCCCGCAGCTGCAGTCAATGTAACCCGAGTGACGGTCCCTTTAATCCTCACCTGTAAATTAGACCACACAGGGGAAAGAGACGGAGAGAGGGGCGAAGGGAGAGAGAGGGGGACCCAGCTGTGACGCTCTTTGTATTTCTGTGTACTAGAAAACAGCAGCAGACGGCAAGCGTCAGGAGATCATTGTTTTGGATTCCAAGAGGAGCAACGCCATCAACATCGGTCTGACGGTGCTGCCTCCTCCTCGCACAATCAAGACGGCCATCCTCAACTTTGACGAGTACGCGCTCAACAAGGAGGGCATAGAGGTGAGCGATGCAGACGATGGAGATAAAGGAAGGAAGTGAAACTCATCCTCAAACCCTTTGTCTTGTACATGACACCTTATCCCGCTCTGTGTTCGCCCCCCAGAAAATCCTGACGATGATCCCCACGGAGGAGGAGAAGCAGAAGATCCAGGAGGCCCAGCTGGCCAACCCTGATGTCCCGCTGGGTTCAGCAGAGCAGTTCCTCCTCACTCTATCCTCCATCAGCGAGCTCTCTGCTAGACTCCAACTCTGGGCCTTCAAGATGGACTACGAGGCAACCCAGAAGGTCTGTAAAAACATGGGACGTGCTGTCCCATGTTTTTACAGACCTTGTGTTGTGATTGAATAAAACTATAAGAATTTAAAAAGAAGAAAAGGTAGATATTTTAATGAGAATGCCAACGACAGAAGGCCAAATCAAACGCACATTTAAAATCATAATGAGCGAGTAAATGTTGTTTTATTGAAGCAGAAACAGACACATATGACGAAGCCAACTGTAAAGGGTTGAGAAAATGTGCACAGCATGTGTGCATTTGTGTGTGTGTGTGTGTGTGTGTGTGTGTGACTGATTCCTCTTGTGCCGTGTCAGTATCAACATCCATTTTAGTACAACAAAGCAAAGCATCAACATAGTTACATCATCACAAAATATGCACGCTTATTAGCGGCAACTCGTCTTCCTCTGGCACAAGATGTTTTACTCGGGTAAAGAATGCATCAAGGAGGAGAAGTTCAAAGTCAAAACCTGGAGAATGAAATACACACCACCCGTCCGTTGTTGTGATGTACATTTTACTGCTTTCCGCAGGATGAAGTTGTCTTTAATCTTCATGAAAGGCAAGACTCCTGACCGCACGTTTCGGCAGAGCGGCGTTCCCCCGACTTGACTCTGTTGGGACGGTGTGGTTGTGGGAGGCTTAATGGAGGGCAACATACCGTGCAGGCACACAAAACACATGCACACCAGAAAAAAACCTGCTGCACAAACACAAACCCTCCGTGTAATCAGAAGCACATTTGATAGCGAAGGCTGACCGAGACAGCAACCTTTACAACCACCCGTCGTGACCTCAAACAAGCGAGACGAGGTGCACCTGTTCTCTGCTTTTATAACTGTGGACCAAAGAAACACATGTTTTTTGGGAGCCTTATTAATTGACTCAGCTAATGATGTGTGCGCACGTGTGTGTTTTCCTCCCGCTCAGGAAGTGGCTGAGCCGCTGCAGGATCTGAAAGAGGGCATGGAACAGCTGGAGAAGAACAAGACTCTCCGCTACATCCTCTCCACACTGCTCTCTATGGGAAACTTTCTCAATGGCGCCAATGTGAGTCATGACCATTACAGGTTCATCACACCGCAGCATAATGACAAGCTACTTTTGTAGAGGTAGTTTGAAGCAATTGTAGAGAGAGTCAGTTATTTTAATGGAGTGTGTATTTTCTTAGCCTGTAATTTGTAGATAAAAAAATTTAATCACATCACATTTTGGTGAGAACACATGTACCTTGTGGTAGTAGTCCAGAATTATTCTTTGTTCATGAGGTCTTTGGTTGTATGTCCACGTGTCCAGGCGAAAGGCTTCGAGTTGACGTACTTGGAGAAGGTTCCAGAGGTGAAGGACACGGTTCATAAGCAGTCTCTGCTGCATCACGCCTGCTCTGTGGTGGTGGAGAACTTCCCTCAGAGCACCGACCTCTACTCCGAGATCGGAGCCATCACACGATCTGCAAAAGTACGCTCCGCACTCACTAACGGAAAGCTTGAAGACATGCTATGTATTTTTTTTAAACTACCTTCCCTCTACAAGTCCCTTATTTGTATCAACATCTCTCCTGTCAGGTGGATTTTGACCAGCTGCAGGAGAACCTGTGTCAGATGGAGCGGCGCTGCAAAGCCTCATGGGACCACCTGAAGGTGATCGCCAAGCATGAGATGAAGCCCCAGCTGAAGCAGAAGATGTCTGACTTCCTCAAAGACTGCGCTGAGAGGATTATCATCCTCAAGATTGTTCACCGCAGGATCATCAACAGGTAGTTCCCCTTACAATGATCTCTCGTACAGTTTATTGTATGTCTAATGATACCAAAATGTTGATATCTCAGTAAGAAATATAGACTGGACTATAAGACACTACTAGTCATTTTTTTTAGCTACGAAATATAGTAAAGAAATTTTGTTTCATGTACTAAAAAGTTCATATCTAACATGTAAAATTTCAGTAACCTGTGATAGTAATTAAAGTATAAGTGTCACATTTCTACTGTCTAGTAAAATTTTGGGGATAAATCTTCAACAGCCTAAAACACACGGTCTTGTAACAATTATGAAAATTGCATTACAAATTGACAACAACTTTTTATTTTCTCATTCTTCTTCCCCTTATATCCTTCTCCCAGGTTCCATTCATTCCTGTTGTTCCTCGGTCATCCGGCCTACAGCGTGAGAGACGTCAGCGTCCACAGGTTTAGTAAAATCCTCAGCGAGTTTGCGCTGGAGTACCGAACCACCCGAGACCGCGTGCTGCAGCAGAAACAGAAACGAGCCGACCACCGCGAGCGCAACAAGACCCGAGGAAAGATGATCATCGACGTCAACGCCCCTGTGAGCATCGCTCACACACACATTCACACACACACACACACACACACACAGAATGCCTTACACAAAGATGCACTCAGACCTTCAACTCTATTGTTCTCCTCTTTCCAAATCTACTGCTGCTTTTATTCTTCATTTTCTTTGACTTTCACTCTTTCTTTTCCCTGTAGTCTGATGATGAAGAGGAGAGTGAGGTATCAGCATAAGTGCTGAATGTCTGCATGTGTGTGTGAGTGTGTGTGTGTGTGGTTGGGTGTGTGTGCATGCGTGCGTTTGTGTGCATGAAACCACTAACCCTGACTGGACCACTTTACCTCAAAGTTTCCATTTTCATTTGTATTGATGTTAACCTCTGCGTGGATCAGTGAATAAAGTGGAGTGGGCATTGTAATCTTAGTTTACAGGTTGGGAAGTTTTCCTCGATGCTTCAGTTTTGGCATGCTTGAGTCATAGCCTAAATCACTTTAAACACAAGTTGCTATTTCCTCATTCTCTTTCACTCTGTCTCTTCTTGCCAGTGTGGTCGGAACGGCTCCGGCAGCAGTAACAGTGCCCCAAGTGGCAGCCAGGAGGTGGAGCATCCTCAGGGTATGGGCCACACTGAGGACGTTGCAGAGCACGAGCACATGAAAGCCGTGCTGAGAACCAGCCTCAGTGGAGGTGACAAGGAGGCCAGCGGGGTGCCGGGGCTTCGCACACGGACCAGATCCCGGCCCGGGCGGGGAGGTGAGGCTGACAGGAAGTTCCTAACACGGTCACACAGAGAAAGTAACAGTAAAAGCAAGAGTCACTGCACTATAGAGTTTCTTTGTCCGTGCATTAATCGTTATGATTTGTTCAGGTCGCAGTATGCCGGCATGGACTCCACCTGCGGAGGACACTCAGATCTGTGGAGACGACTCTGCAGACGAGATTATGGAACGTATAGTGAGGTCGGCCACTCAGGGTCCAGGAACCAGAGCCCAGCCCAGAGAGAGGAGGAGGTCCAGGGCCAACCGCAAGTCATGTAAGAGCTCCATGTTTACTTCTGCCCCGAATCCACAGCCTAGCACACACTCATTCTAAGCACACTCACTTTTAGTACAGCAAATGACCATGTCATATCTAATCTTCTGTCCTCACAGTGAGGCGGACTCTGAAGAACGGCCTGACCCCAGAGGAAGCTCTTGCTCTGGGACTTTCCGATTCTCCGGATCCACCAATGTAATCATCCAATCATCGAAGCGCCATCTCTGTCTGCCTTTGTATTTCACCGGTCACAAACCCCTTTAGGTTTTTGCCAGCTGCTAATTTTGTTTGCCTGATGTGTCTGAGTGATAAAGCTGCAGCCATAATTTTTTTTTCTTTTGTAATGCAACTCAAAGAAATATATATTCCCGAAGAAAAACTGGAAGGGAAGAAGGAGAACTGATGTATTTAACTTGACAAAGAAAAGAATGGATACTTTTTTAAAAACCCAAGCATATATTTGAAATGTTGCATTCGTCCAAAGGGATATTTTTTGCTTGCGAGTTTCTGCGAGCTGTGATTTCTTTTCTTTTTTTCATTTATTTAAGCTGTGAATTTCGGTTGTAAAGATTAACGGGCTGAAGAACAAGTTTGATTTCTTCTCTTATCCAAATGATCCCAAGAGATCACCACAAACAAAGAGGCTCACGAAGAATTGTCCTTTGTGAAAAGGCAAATGTTTGCTTCTGCACGTTTGACAAGAGACGAGTGTAGTTATGTGTCGTAGGAAGGTGAAAGGTTGTCAATGTGATCTGATGTGCCTTTCATTTAAAAGGGATGATATTGTACCTTTTCTCCATCTCTCCCTCTTGTTTCAGTCACCTCCTACTTGTCAGGTGACTCATGTCACATTCACATGTGTAGTTATATCGAGTAAGACTGTTGATCACAATTCACTTCTCTTTCGTTTTGTTGGCAAAATATTTATTTGCAAAGCTCAGACATCTTGCACCTTATACGACATTAATAGTTTCTAATGCTGAAATGAACAAGTGATTCAAAACACAGACAAAAGGACGTATTTATCTCGGAGGAACTGTTTGTAAAGTGTAAAAAGATAGAAAAAGATAAAGACATTTTTTAAATTGTAATGATCTATTTTGAAGGACATGCAGAGAATTCTGCATACAGATGTGTAAATGCCCTTATCAGCTGCCAGGTACTAAGTACTATAGTACTACAGTGTGCATGTTTAGTGCGGTTCATGTGATGTATTATTTTTGTAATTTCTGTAGAAACTTGTATTATAGTCTGAGAGAAAGGGTAAAAAAAAAGAGGCTATTCTGTGAATTGCAATAAAAGATAAATAAAAGATGTGGTCATATAGCTGGCATATGCGTTTTCAAAGCATTGCTCCGTGCTGAGAGAGAGGAGCAGGATTTTGGGCATTTACTTTGAACTCTGCGGTCACATTGTACTTTGTATGACGTTTGTGGATAATCTAAAGTCTCCTCTCACAGTACAACAAAGACAGGGAAATAATGCTGCATAAATATAATGTGGCGAGCTGAACATGAAGCCACGGTTACATACACTTTCACTTGAAATGCTGTGTATGCACACTGCAATAAAAAAACAAAAACCATTGAGTGAAAAAAACAAAAAGCATGTGCATGTCATTCTTTTTCACTGCTTCCTGAACGCACACTCGAACACGTCCCTGCTGACCAACCTTTGGATTAAAGAGGGGCCATAAACTCCACATCTGCTTCTCACTTTACTCGTGCGGTTCAATGTTGGGTCCTTCGCGTTCTGCTATTGACTTCTGTCCGTACCCATGTCGATGAATCTGCTTTGGGGGGCTGAATCCCCTCCCTGCTGGAGAATGGTTTGTTCCTGAGGAGGAGAGACATGATTCTGCCGTAAAGAGAAACAGGAAGGCTCTGACCACTGAACTCAAACTCTGGGAGGATTACCTGGAGAAGGTATGAACAGCAAACATACAGAGAGAGAGAGAGAGACATGTACACTCACTATGCTGACAGCAGTGTTTCTTTCATGTGATTTCTGCATCAAGGTGGCTACAGGCTCATACCTGGCGGGGGCCTTCTCTTTGGCTGATGTGATCGTCTTCCCAAACATTGCTTATGTGTTTCGTTTTGGGTAGGCGTCAGAGTTCAGAGACGGATGAATGAGCCCAGACTGCTTTGTTTTTCAGTAATATCATAAACCTGTTTCTTCTCTTTAGGCTCTCTGTTATGTGATGTTACCCCAAACTGGCCAAATATTACAGCCGTGAAGGACAGGCCCAGCATTAAAGCCAGCTGGCCTCCACACTGGCTGGCCAGTCCACAGGGTTTTGACATCCTCAAGGATCTCTGAAACACATAAATGTTACTTGAACGGCAAAACAAATTATTAAAAAATATTATTTTGAAACAAACTCTGTATTGATTGATTTATTGTAATTTTCCCATACATAATTTATTTAAATAAGACCAATACAATAGCTATGCTGAAGGGAAATCATTGGAAAGGACCTACTTTGTAATACCTCCTCCTAACCAGTAGGCGGCGGTAGACGCTTCCATTAAAGCCTGAGATCCCCATAAACGGTGGAAAGAGTAACAACAAATCCCATTTTTTTGTGCACAATTCTCACCTCCTCTGAACTGTACGGTCTCGTTTCGGCAGTGACGGGCTTTACAGGCTGCTAAATCTACAAACCATGGCCCAGGACATAACTCTGCTGTGGGGCTCCGGCTCCCCTCCCTGCTGGAGGGTCATGATCGCGCTGGAGGAGAAGAACCTGCAGGGCTACAACCAGAAGCTGCTGTCGTTTGAGAAAATGGAGCACAAGTCACAAGAAGTGCTAGATATGAATGCCAGGGGACAGGTACGGAGTAGCTTAAATCCACCGTGACCTGTACAATAATGAAATGAGGTTAGACCACCTGTATGAACTAACGGTACCCTTAACGTGTCCCTTCTCCCCCCAAATAACAACCGCTGCAGATATTCAGTTCCACCTTCCCCACCATTTTATATTATCCCCGATAGCTGCGCTGTCTTGTAACGTGGCGCCTGACTTCATTTAAAACCTTATCAATATAATGTTTTCCATCTCACCCACATACATATAGTGTCTGAAACATGACTGTCGGCTTTAGACTAGTCACGTGGATGTGTCATTTAATTCGGCTTAGGTTAAATTCACCCAGCCGCAGTTATATTTGAACATCGAAATGTACTCCCTCAAGCGCCCTTTTCCTACAAAGTAGGTTTATAAGAAGTTTCTTTGTCTTCTGCAGCAGGTGCACGCCCACTTAAAAGTCTTAACACGTGCTTTATGAGCCGTGCATTTAACCAGGAAACGAGACGGGATTTAATTTACTGCATTTTGAAGGTATTTGTTGTAGTTTATGTCACGGGGCGGTTTGCTGCAGCATTGACACCGGTTGGGCCTTGCATGGTGATAACAGGTAGTTCACCCTTAAAGTCTCCCACATTCTAACCTGATTGGTTTTTAAGCTTCCCTCTTTCAAACACGGAGACGTCATCGTGAATGATTCCTATGCAGCCTGTTTCTACCTGGAGGTGAGTGAGCCGGTCCATTCACTAACTGACAGATGTCATTTTAATAAGCAATTTGACAGATATCAACACGAAATTCAACATTTTGACGTGTGACATCAACCGTGCGTGTCTTTTTCTCTCTTAATGGCAGAGTCAGTTTCAGTCCGAGGGAAATAAGCTGATCCCAGACAGCCCTGCTGAACAAGCACTGATGTACCAACGCATGTTTGAGGGTCTCTCCTTCTACGAAAAACTCAGTAAGGAACAAATATAAGTCCCTCAAATTCCCCTTTTTTAAAACAAATGCAGCCAAGAGCATCTGAAGGATATATTGATAGCAAGAAATATATAGAATAATGTGGCTTATCTTTAAATAATTAATTATTGATGTTTGAAATGCTACACTTAAAGCACTGTATGTGTGTGTTTCTAGATGCTGTCATCTACTATAACTGGTTTGTCCCTGAAGAAGAGAGGCATGACTCGGCTCTAAAGAGAAACAAGGAAGCTCTGGCCACTGAGCTCAGGCTCTGGGAGGGTTACCTGCAGAAGGTAGTGTATGTACAGTACACACACAGGTAAACACAAACATGCATTGGCACGTTCAAACTTACCTTTATTTTTCACCTTTCTTTAAAAGCTGGGCTCGGGCTCTCACCTGGCAGGGCCGTCCTTCTCTCTGGCAGATGTGACTGTCTTTCCAACTGTTGCCACTCTTTTCAGATTTGGGTAAGTGGGAGGAGGCCGTTGCAAACAACCAGATTGAGGGATGTGTGTCTTGACATGTTGAGATGTCTCCTGCCTTCTTTTCTTCAGGGTGTCTGCCGAGCATTACCCTAAACTGGGAGAGTATTACGCTCTGTTGAAGGACCGGCCCAGCATCAAAGCCAGCTGGCCTCCTCACTGGCTGGAGAACCCCAAGGGACAAGACACACTCAAAGACGTCTGAGAGCCACACACACACACACACACACACACACACACACTAGAGCCACGTCTGCCTGTACTCTTTTAGTTCCTTTTGTTCAATATAGTTACTCCCAGTTTGTCAAATATAATACAGCTCTTTTAGTTATTTCTGATAATGAATAGGAAAGTAGGCGTTGAGGTTACCAGTAAGTTCTGAGTGTTCATGCTACAAGAACAAAAATGCGTTTCTTTTTCAAACTAGCTTTTGTATTTAGTTTAAAGGTTTCTGTCAAAGCTTTGCCAAGCAGTCCGTTGATAAACACAGGCTTTATTCAACTGCAGCGTGTGATGTTTGCAGAGTACCAGGCATAGCCTGCAGGCAAATGTTGTAATTGTGGTGTTCAATGTCATGGCAGTTTTTGTTGCCGAGATACATGGCAACAATAACATCAATGTCTGTTGATGAATACATAAAAGTCACTATAACAGCAGTTTCAATGCGTTTTGAGTCGTCCTTTGATTTAGTAGGTTTCAACCTATTTCTTGTACTAAATAACCTCCACTACAGCCAACATGTCTTGTAGGCTTTGCATATATTACATTAATTTAGCAGATGCTTTTATCCAAAGCAACTTACAATTCAGAGTCTATCACATTTCTACACCGTAGGCACAGCTACGGGAACAATTTTGGGGTTAAGTGTCTTGCACTGTAGGACACACTGTCTTGCTCAAGGACACATCGACATGCGGCGCCGGGGGTTCAAACCACCGACCCTCTGATTGAAAGACGGCCCTGCTATCCACTTAACCACAATCCCCTCTATATATGAACTTACTTGTGAACCAGTATATCTGATATACAATTTAACTGAAACGTGAGCCAAATAAAGCCAAGATGTCACTGCTGAGTAAGACATGTATTGGACTATGAACCCTTAATGTTAAGGTCAAGTCTAGAGAAAAAGAATAAATTAGGTGGAGTCCTGACTGACTGGTTGTGTTTGAATGGCTGTCAAAGCTGGTTTGCTCTGCACAGAGGTAAGTGAAATGCCCTGTGCTGTCGTGACTTTGCATGTCGAATCATTTACATGAAATACAAATTATCTTTCAATGTTATTTCATGTGCAGAGCTTTCAGACCTTCACAGCAGCTGTACTGTTAAAAAGAAAAGAACTTGTTTCACCATTGCATAGCTGTTGCTGCGCTCTAATGTGCCTTTCTTTGTAGGAAAAGGCACTTGAGTGAGTAGATTTCAAAGTTCAGATTTTCCAAATAAAGCTGGCTGGGTGAACTTCAACCTAAGCCGAATTAAATGACACATCCACGGAACTAGTCTAAAGCGACAGTCCTGTTTCAGACACTGTATTTCTGTGGGTGAGATGGAAAACATTGATACGGTTTGGAATGAAGTTAAGCGCCACGTTACAAGACAGCACATCTATCGGGGATATTAAAAAATGGTGGGGAAGTTGTAACTGAATAGCTGTTGCGCGTGTTATTTGGGAGAAGGGAACTTCATTATTGCGACACAGCCTTTAACATTTACAGCATTAACTAATTCATCCTTTACATTGTTAAGAGATTGTAGAAAAATATGACAGCATAAAAGTATAATCATCACAACATATAACTTGTTTACATGTTTTATAACCATCATAATATAAACTCTTTTATTTCATGTTGGTAGTGATTTAACATACAAACTGCTTAGACACTATAACAAAGTCTTGTATAGTGCTTCTGGTTCCAACAGGACCAAACCAGTTACATTCTGTTGCTAACTCTGGTTCAAGATGTCTCCTGTATGTGTGACACATGTGATTAGGGGAGGTACTAGCCTCAGAGTAGCAGAAGAACTGTGAGATTTGGCTTTTCCCCCAGCGTCGATACTGGGAGAGACTTCTTTAATAATAGACCCGTGAGGGTCTAAGTAACTGGTTTGGTCCTGTTAGAACCAGAAGCACTATATAAGGCTCAAGTGACTATGTTACATAAAGTGTCTACGCAGTTTATATGTCAAATCACATTTATCATGAAATAAAACAGTTTATATTATGATGGTTATAAAAAGCAAACAAGCTATGTGTTGTGAGGGTATTTTTCTACAATCTCTCAACAACATACACAGCGGGGTCCAGTCGGAGCAGTCAACTCAGTTTTGCATTGACGTCCTGTGTGCACAGATACAGACCAACACATCAAATGCGAGTCATGCATGTCGAGCAGCACCTGTGTTTAAGGTACCGTGTAAACACCGGCGCTTTTTCGTCCTTTATAAAATGCTTTGTCAGTAGAAAATGTCATGGTTGTCAAGCAAAATTAAGCTGATGAACTGACTCTTGCACACACACAGTTCACGCCCACACTCCACAAAGACGACCTGATGACACTGATGAAGGGTTCTCTGAGTGTCAAGAATTTTAGACTGAAGATGAAACGATGTGGAATGTCAGCAGGCTTGTAGTCACACGCTTGTATTCAGTCTCAAGGCCCTAAAATAGGGAGAAACTGTGATCATTTTGTCAAACAGAAAGGGTTTGTTTTAAAACCTTTAAACACGGGGTAACCAGTGGACGCATGGAGATGTAAAAAAAGACGTGTGTTCAGCCTGTCATATTACATTTACTCAGAAACATCAAGGGTTAAAGATGGAACAAAAAATAAACATGAAATCAGAAGATATTTATTTATTTATTCATCAAATATTTATATTTGAAAAGCGAGTAAATAGATTACATAAAATGACCTCTCATCTCGTGAGGAAAGAGCCAGGAAGACTTTCGAATCAGGGAGTACAAAGTACAAAATAAATACCCACAATTATACATCATATTTTTTGTCATTTTCATGGTAACGTGATATGTTGCAGCAAAGTGCTGTCCCATTCCTATTCACACCATTGCAAGCCCTCACAGTCTCTCACATTCAGCCACTTACTAGGTGCGTCAGTAAGTCCTTGGGGGTTCAGGCTTTGAGGCTTTAGGGGGGACATTGGCATTGCGTCACAGATCTTTGGCGAAAACAAAAAAAAATGGGATGGGACTTAATCCCACCAATCCTGATGCGAAGGGGCTGGAGCTTCTTATATAAACAGACATTTCTCACAGTCTAGCTTCACTCCTGACATCTTCCAACTCTTCCACTTCGGGCATTTACTTTCAGGTGAAGCAGTCCACTCTACAACCATGGCCAAGGACATGACTCTGCTGTGGGGCTCCGGCTGGGGCTTAAATCCTTAAAATAAAGTGAAAGTATAAAAATGGCAAGTTGTGGTTTTAAGCCAGCCCTACCAGGAAGCACATAACCACCAGTTATTACTGCCACTACAACTTTTTGATTTTACACTTTTTTTACACATTAAACAAAAAATGATATGACATGCCTGTTAGGTGTGGATGAAAAAATGCAAAACGAATATAAAAAGTGGAACAAAGTTTTTAAACACGCATGCACTGGTCCGATGTTTTTTAGCGGCCGTCCATCATGGCTAACGTTTATGTAAATTGTAATTGTTAATAGGTATAATGGCAAATGAATGCAGCTTACAGCTGTCTTTGGTTTCAAATCTGCCCACCAGCACATGGATGTGTTTTACATGAACATGGGCTGAGATCCTGCACACTCGAGGTTTAACAGTTCTACTGTAAGGCAGCACTAGAAGACTTCTGCAATGTGTCATCCTGTTCTTCTTTGTGGCTCTTTTTTTTTATCAGACACTATTAAATGCTTCTCAGTGCCATTTCAAAGATACAGTATATGGGGTGACAGCACGACAGAGCTCCACAAAAAGAGGTCAGAGGAAGATATTTCCTGGAATGATGAATGGAAAAACGCAAGGCATCTCTTGCGTGTACAAAAAACAAGCTTGCAAAGTTAATTACGACTAAAATAAAACTGATTATATTACACGCTGTCACGTCTATATCAAATGGGCAAAAGGGATGCTAGTAAATCTATGAAATGTGGTGATGCTGAAGGAACTTTGCTCAATCTGTTGAGGGACTGCAATAAAA